AAGATCTCTGCCGAGCCTCAGTGGCAAATAACTTTGATTTTATTTATCAAGTTCAAGCAGCGAAAAGCCTGGATTCACTGAAGCCTGAACATCATCATCTAACAATGTGCTGACTGAGGAGACTCGGGACAATGTGCTGATTGCACTGTACTATCACTCAAGGGAACGTGCTCCTTAATGATGGGTGAAGAAGAGAAAACAGAAGGTGACGAACAGTGTGCTTAAACTGTGATTTATAAAAAGAGGATGAGCCATTAATCATGTCACTGCAATGACTTCTGACCTCAGTATAGAACACGGGGCCTGTGTGTATGGTTAAATAATACACTATTGGGATTGCGGAGCCTTCTAAACCTTAAATAATGATAAAACGGTCGAGATCTCAGCAGCTGCCAAGACTGTCTCACTGAATGGATGTAAAACTCAATGAGACATGTTGAGAACAAAGTGACACTCAATATGAAAATAAAGCATAATAACACATGATTAAGTTAGAGCCATAACTTAACACTGTTATTGCCTCTGCCAAGGAGGTATTGTTTTTACCCCTGTCTGTTTACGTGATTGTTTGTTAGTGGGATTTCTCACAAAACCGCACGGCTGATTACCACGAAACTTGGTGGAGGGGTGTGGAATGGGTCTGGGAAGAACTCATTCAATTCATTGGTGCAGATCAGCATCAGGAGGCGGATCCACACACTTTTTGTCACTCTTCTTCAACATTATCAGATTTTTCAAAATGTTGATGACAAACATTTGGCATAATAGGGGAACTGATATCTATGAGTGTGTGTAATTTGGTGCAACTTGATTGGATAAAAAAAAGGACTGTTGGGCCTTGGTGGTGGTATGTTTGTTTGTTTGTCAGCAGGATTATGCAAAAAAAAATTGATTTGTTGCAAGAACGGGACCAGGGAAAAGAAATTGTATTAGGATTTTACTCAGTGCTGTTCTAGTTTGTCTCTCGGTTGGTTGGTTTATTTGTTTGTGTTGTCGGGAGGATTACAAAAAAACCTCTGGAACATATTCCCATGGAACTTGGTGGAAGGAAGGGACTTGGGACCATTTAGAACTGGATCTGGACAAAGGGGTGGGTGCAGGAATCTTTTATCCCTTTCTATAAAAATGTAAGATAGGGCATTCACATTATAATAACACAATAATTCATGGACCTTGGTGAAAAAAACAGTCATGTATAGGGAACTGATTTTTATGAGTGTGTGCAATTTGGTGCAGATCCAAACTAAATTCCAGATCTAGTTCATTTGAATCTGGTTTCATCAGAGCCATTCTAGTTCAAGAAGTAAAGAGTATTGAGACCCGACATCCCAGAAAATTAAAAAGCACTTCAAGATAAAAAGGTTTAAATATTTAATCTACCACTTTCTTTTTAGAAAGTGCATCACAAAGGTAAACAATTATGATAAAAGCTGTTAGAAATCTGACTAAAACAATTTTCTGGATTCGTGCTTCAATTATGCTCAAACATGTAACATTCTCCATTAGTTCTGAAAAGAGGTGGTAATAGTCAGAGCCTTTAGACGACTTCTACAAGAACACCGGCTGAAAGCAGGAGATTTAATAAAAGAGAAGAAAATACGGATGCACTCAGTGACTCATTTAACAAATAGACACTAAAACAATTCAATAAGGGCAGGGATGCAGGTGGGAATAAAGTGTCACCATAGCTTAATCACAGTGTAGAAGTAGCACCACACTCGTTTGTTAGGGGGCAACTTCAAGTGTTACAGTCACAATGAAGTTTGGCATTAGATATGCAAGAAAAACACACCTGCTGATATTCCTGATGGCTGGAGCAAATAATATGATAATACCGTCAAGTGAAAAATATTTCAGTGATGAAAGGGAAGCCACATCATAGCATCAAAGCTGGATAACATTTCAATCAATTCCAATCGGGCTGCACATGCATGATGTATCACATCAGGACAGCAAATTTACTCTATGACTGGAACAGAAATAAGTTACAGCACGAAGCCGCTTGTGCTCTCGTGCAAAGTTGAGCTGCTGCTACAAGAGTAACCCGAGCAAATATTTCGTATGAGTTCTACTGGGTTTGAGCCGATCCCGACTGTATCCTCTGGCCACTCGCTCTCTTGGGGAGCCCTGTTTCCTCAGATGAGCTTAGAGCAACAGAAAAAGTAATGACTTGTACTATGCTGTGCGTAGGCCTAATAATAAAAGCTGCTTCTGTGGGAATTGGGCCATGCGTGTCAGGTTCTGCTCTCCAGAGAAGCAATACCTCAGAGATTTCCCCCCTCTCAACTGGGGAAGGATAAATTGATGATACAGTGTGGAAGACAAATGAAATTAATCTTCCCGGTAGCTGACAGGAATCGGCTTTACACACACACACACACACACACACACACACACACACACACACACACACTATAAAATACCTCAATATCCTTCTGGGTGGAAAATAAGACAAATGGATTGAAGTGAAACAACAATAGCAACGTGAGACTAAAGAGACTGGTGAAATGAAATAAAGGCGACTAACAGACACTGAGAAGTTTTCATCAGATAAAACGGGTGACGTTAAATTTATCTCTTGTTAGCTTTACTCTAAAGCAGCCACTGTATCTCTCTGAGGCAGGCGGGCTAATTAAAAGCCAGCATTGTGAAGCAGTTTATTTATTCTTTTTTTTTACTACTAAAGCCAGATCTGTGTCACAGTCGCCTCGATAACGCGCGGCCGCAGCAGTCATGATAAGCTTTTGAGACCCTCATATTGATCTTCATGTCACCTAAGGAAAAAAAAAAAAAAAAGGAAGAGCTACCTGAGTATCCAGGGCGACAGACACACTTGAAGCCTCCGGGTGTGTTGATACAGATGCCCTCGTGTAGGCAAGGTGAAACTTCACACTCGTTCACATCCAGGTCACACAGCGTTCCGAAATAACCAGGAGGGCAAATGCAGCGGAATCTGAGGAGGAGGCGATAACACTCGATCAATGAGAAATCAATTATTAAGAAAAAAAAATCACAGTTCTTCAGACGCTTACTGTAGCATTCTTATTTATTGTAAAAGCTCCACAGGAAATAACCCAGTATGTGTGTGTGTGCTAAATAAAACTACTGTGCAGACTGAGACTCGTTTTTCATTCTCAAAATCTCCACGCAGAAATTGCGGACATTATGACAGCACTTAACTTTCCCAGTGTGTAACCATATTTGAATTACATTTGATGACTTGTTACCAAAGGAAGGAGCCGATAATCTGCACCGTACATTCAATTCAAATCCCTCTCCGCAGCCATCAGTGGCTCTAATATCTCCGAGCTCACTCCTCAGGTATTGGGTATGAGGCTGTTATTGTATTTTCTAGATGAGATAATTGGAAAACATGCAATTAGATACCTCTGCATGAAATATAAACTCAATCTTCAATCGAGTTTTTATGAACGGTAAACCAGTTAAACTTAATCAAGTTTCAGCAATGGGTTGAACTGAAGTGTTATTGTCACACTGCAGACTTTAAACTCTGGACTTCTCTGAGACAACGTTATCGCAACACATTTTTATTATTGCAGTCTGTTACAGTCAAGTTGGACAGAAGCAGTTTAGTTCCATATATAAAAGCCTGTGCTGTGTATACATAGATGGGAAGAGACTGACCCTTGCAGAGCTGAACTCACTGCATCTTAATGCAAAGGCTGGGTTAACATAAGACACAGCATGGGCTGGGTGAGCACCCTGCACAGTCTGATTCACCACCGCCGCCGCACAGATGGACTCGCTCGGCTTGTCGGGTCAGGGAGACGGCGGCGCGGATAGAGCTCGTGGTGGGCAGCGGGGTTAAAGCACACCTGATGTGAACTCCCTGGACTGTGCAATCAGAGGCGCGCTCTGAGCCGGGCCAGGTCACATGGGAGCGAAATCATGACGGGAGACAAACTGGAGACAAAACATTTAGGACTCAAATTGGCCCTGGGACTTCTCTACCCATCTGTCCGACTAAGCCCGGAAGCCCCAGGGCTCCCATTAAGCACAGCAGAGAAAGGCACCAGTGGAGTAAAGCCCAATCTAGATACATGATGTGTTCCTGCTGAATTCACTCTCTGTCTTTTAGAATAGCAGCTTATCTGTGTCAAGGATGAAGACAGGCTTGTTATATAAACTGGAGCAATCTGAAGGGGAATGTCTCGACGTCGCGTGTTTTCTTTGCAATTGACTTTGATAACAAAGCGGAGGAAATTCATTCTGCAAGGCCTTTATTGATATATTTAAATTGTAAGAAAGCAGACGACGGGTTAAAGCGTGAAGTCACAGCTAGTCTACTCACTTGTTCACGAGGTCTTGACAAATGCCGGTGTTTCTGCAGGGGCTGGAGGTGCATTCATTGACGTCTTCTTCACAGCGAAGGCCAGAAAATCCCATCTTACACTCACAGCTGGAACAGAAAAATCATTAATATTGATATTTTGTCTCGGATGGAAAATGGAAGATCTATTTGTTTCCCACTTGCACATGCACAGAGTGAAAATAATCAATGGGAATTTAATGATATTAATTACACATCATAATTAGTCTGATTGCACATGCAGCACAGCAACACCGATTTGGATTTTGACAGTTTTACTAAACACAGAAAAGCAATGAGTGTTTTGTTTTTTTATTTCAAACTGAAATGTTACATCATTATATCTAGTAAATAACAAGGAGAACAATTACATTAGCTCAGGGACCTCTACTGTAAAAATAACAAACAAAGGTTTCTTGTATTGACGCAGCATCACTACAAAACCTGACAGTCGCCTGCCTCACCGGAAATGAAAAGCTGGTTATGGACACCACTCTTTACCTATAGCTGTTGACCTGGTCCACACAGTCGCCGTGGTTTTGGCATGGATTGGAGCCACACTCATTGGTGTCAATTTCACACCAACTTCCTTCAAATCCTGAAAGATAGATGAGATGGTCATGGATCAGCGAGCCCCACTTCACCCTGAAAACGTCAGGACCGATGATAACAAAGGCCCCAGTGAATGCCATTTTAATGGAACTAGTAGCCCCTGTAGCATATCTCATCTTCCAGCTCTCGGCACTCACTGTTTCCCCTCTGAGAGTGTGTAAGTCTAATAATACTTTAGAGCCGCAGACAGATTGGTCTGAGGGTTAGTGGTTTGGGGTTTGGGATGTGTACGTCTGTGTGCCACCGTGCATATGTGCATCAGTGTGTGTGTGTGTGTCTGTGTGCGGGGGAGAGAAACCGAGCGAGCAGGGGGACATCTTGTTAAGTTAGGGTAAGAGGGAGAGGCTAAGCCCAAGAGCTCTTTTGCTCTTGTTCATTAGGGGGTTGAGGGGCACGATGGCTAAGCAGATCAGCATGGATGTTTTGTTGTACTTGTGAAGACAGCCTGGGAGCCTGAAATGTTCCGCCTGCTGGAGGTTTTCCCCCCGGTGCTCGGGTCTGGGTCCACAAGACGTTTTTCAGCTCAGCAAATCAAACTGCAAGGCGAGTTTTATGAGGTAAAAGGAATTCAACAAAGGGAGCCCTCATGTCTCACACATAATGGAGAATTAAAGAGTTTATATGCAACTGAAAACCCGACTTCGAAATGTTATCACTTCTTAAATGTCACCATTCAAATATATTTAAATAATTGTATACTACTGAATTTACAGCAGGGAAATATTTCACCTGGAAACTGAATCCTCCTGACTTTTTATTTTCTACTGTGAAATTATAATTGATGTCATATATAAAGGTGGTGCTGTACTGGACTATGTTATTGAGAGATGTGAATTTTACATGGGGGAAGAATATAATTACATACATTCACACATACGTGCAGTAAATCACTCAATATGACTCATAGTTAACATTTCATTATCAGGACAAATTCAGGCAAACTAGACTTTATGCCAGAGCTGCTGTATTGGTTTGGATTGTATTGGACAGCTCAACCTAATGAAAAGCTCATTGAGCATTTGTGGTCTGACTGCTCCTCTTTTCTCATTATCTATTATTTTAAATAATACATTTAAAGATGTGCCACATTTTAAATCAAATATTAAAAATCAATAAGATCCGAACAAATATTAATCCAGATGCTGAAACAGGTCAAATTCAGACATTGAAAAGGAAGATGTCACATTCAGATCTAAAAATTCCAGGATATCAAAAATAAGCAAAGCAGCTTAATGATTCCTTGTGGTCATCACTTCCCTGCATACTATTGAATTATAGCATTTTGTGACTCTGTGTCCCTGCACCTGTAGTGATATGAGCAATGACACAGAGATGTAATTTCGTGAGCTATTCTGCTATCAAAACTCCTTTAACTCCCTGAGCTGAAACTTCTAAATACGACCATAAGCTGAACAAGTATAAAACATTTTAATAAAACTAGTTTATAATAAGTATTAGTGCTGTAATGGTTTCCCTGTCTCATTATGCTTCGCCTGCTGCTTCAAGTTAAAGTTACATTTGTAATCTAATGGGTTTTTTAAGAAATCATTGTCAGCTGAGAAAAGAAAAAAAATTGATTTAAAAATCACTTTTGAAAGACATACCGGTATATAGTTTAATGTGAAACCTTAGGAAATGGTTGAACATGGGTATTTTATATTACACTATATATTTCAAGGAGACATGGAAACATTCACATATAAACCGCTGATTACTATGTGATTCATATCTGGATTGGTTGTTTTAGGGTCACCACAGCTTTCTTTGGGGTCTCTGTACCATTTGTACTGATACCATGTATCAGTCCACACTATATAATGCACCGTAATGGCGACAATTTTTGTCATTGCAGCTCTTTTGAAATCTACAGTAAACACCAGTTGGCAGAAAATTGCACCGATCATAAATTACTGTGTTCAGATGGGTCCCATCATTGGAAGGCCAGTATTTGTAGTTTGCTTTCGAGAGCTGTTGATTGTATATATTGTTGAATAGGAAATTGCTTGACCACTGGGCGGGGCTTTCTGAGCAGTTCTCATTGTGCATTCTTAACAATCTGAACGCCCCAAACTGTAAATCATCATGTTTAAAAGGAAGACAGACACAATTCCAACACAACTGGAGTGATGCTGACACTGACGCAGCTCTGTGCATCCTGGGACGAACGAATGAGAGGGAATCCATGGGACCACAGAGCATCTGGTGAATTATGGGACAGCACAGCTTTCACAAGCTGCTCTGTCAGTCAAAGCAATGGTGGGGCACCTCAGGGACTATTTCAAATGTTGCCACAACGTAATGCATCTTCTGCCACTAAGCAGTGACTGGAGGCATCTCTTTGACAGAGTACAGAGAGGGAAACCAAAGGCACGTGCTCACGTAGACGTTCCATCATCTGGCTGCAGCTCCAGCGTGTGATCACTGCTCCTGCCAGGTAACGCCTCAGAGGAGAAGAAATTGTGGGTAATCCCCAGTGGATTGTGGACTTTGATGGACGTTTCAATTGAAACATGAGTGACGTCTTCATTTCAACAGTGTGAATTTAGTTTGGACTGTAACATATGTGACTAGACTAGATAGTCTTCTTATCAAAGTTGCTGTCAGTCTGATGTTAACAATTTCTCAGAGAGGGGTCGTTTAAAATTACATTACCCGCTGTTTGTGCAATATAGACGGATTATGGTATTTGGCTGTGTGTGTCATCTGTGTGCTTGTCATACATCACATGAAATGTCAGATATCGCCGATCGCTAAATCTGTGCATGATTTTCATGCTGAAACCTAAATGCATCATCATTTCATGTTTTCCTTCAGATGAACTGTGATGAGCTGTGATTCTCCATGTTTACATGAACTTAAACTGCTGAGCCTCTATTACATCAATCAGTGTAATATTTGAAGTCATCCAGAACAGTGAACAAAAGCCACGTCTCTCAAGAGTCATCAAACTTGGACAATCTGCATTTAATACCATTTATCCTTCGAGACATAACCAAACTACTGATATAATGTTTGATGATAGAGTAAAAACGCTGTAAAAACAGTATTATCATGGTTGTACAACATTAAGCAGAGAAATTTGAGATCCTCAGTGAGCACAACTAAGTTCCTGAGAGAGATACGCAGGACTCACACGTGTTGGGGGCATCAACGGAAACTCTCCTCATTGATTTTGAATGGAATTGAATCGCATTGCTCAACTTTTCATGTGGCAAGACAAACCCTCAATGCGTAAGACGGAACGGAGACAGCTGGTGAACCTGGTGTATGTTCATCTGGTTGTGGGTTGTATTTTCTGTGTTCTTGTGTTTATAGCTAGAAAGGCACATTATGGATGCCGGCTATGTTGTTTGTCCTCAGCATGAAATTTAGATTATTGCTTTTTACTTTGAACTCCTCTTGATCTTTTATCTCAGACCTGGCATTTAACTAACTTCATATTTTCATCCAATATAAAAACTCTGTGTGTCTTCAACGTCTACATCAACTGAAAATAAACCATTAACGGAGAAACCAAGAGGGTTTTCATATCTGTAATGGCCTTGTTTGGCATGTCAGCAAAAACATGTATGCTGCTGTCTCTGTCTGGCTGAGCAAGAACTTCCACTTAATACACAAGAAATTATTGACTTACATTACAGCGCTCTATGAGTTTGCCTTGTGCCAACACTGAGGCAGCTTGCATTTGCACAGAAAGCAAAAAAGGGCGACCACACTAATCCATCACTGAGACGATCTGATGGAAGCATTGCTGTACATCCTCATTTGCTATTGAGACCTCATTACATGATACACATGGTGACTATTCATTATGCAGCAACCACAATGGAAAGAAAACTGAAGTTTTGTGAAGAACTGTGTAATTACAGCTGTCAGTTGCCAAAGAAAAAGCACAGACTCCACAGGCAGAGACGTCACAAGTCCTGAGCAACAAATCACCAACTCTGAGCAAATCAAAAGAAATATGGACGGACAATGAAAGAACACACTGGGGGCCATATTCGTCATCAGAGCAGTGTTCCTCACAATCAGGAACACAGCATGCTTTTGAGTCCTGGGTTGTGGAGTAAGTGGGATAAGAATTCAAATCTCCCTGCCTGTAAACACCAGCGTGTGCAGCCTCTTTACCCCACTGTTACACACCTGGACCACCTCTTCAGTGATGCTAATGAAGCCACAAAATGATTAAACACCGGCTTTCTTAAAAATGTGTTTACTGTACAGCTGTTGCAGTGCGAGGGCCTATTTTTAAACACTACGTATAAATGAAGCCACTAACCTGCTCCTCGAGGTGTGCAAGTACTTAACCACAGCTCCTCTCTGGCTCAGACAATACTCCCTGAATAAGCAAGATGTTTTTGTTTTTTGTGTTCTCCGGTTTCAGTCATCTTAAGCTCTTTTGTTAGATCATTTAGAAAAGGCAAACTGTTGCTCCTTTGTCAACAGTCGTGAGTGACAACACCGAGCAATTGCAGCTGTTGTTTCATACCCTGCTTTTGGATATTTCTGTGACACACAACTACAGACATTTACAGGTTGTCTACTTGTTACACACAATATAAAGTCAGACATCTGCTGAATGTTCAGAAGTGATACAACATGTGGAACATGACAGTATTACACAGCACAAATTGTACAAACCTGACTGTGCTGTGAACGTTAAAGCTCCCTTTAGTATTATTTCTTAAAAATGATCTCAGACAAGGTAGATTTCTGCAAGTTTTGATTGGCTGGTTGATTGTGTTTGAGCCATGACATTGTCCCTTCGTTTTTATAACACGACTTTAGTTTATCAAAAAATCTCCATCCACACGAGAACAAGCATGCTGGGCCGACAGGTGGCGAAGAAGTCTACATCAACTACACATGCTGTTTGAGTCGATGATCGATCACTGGGTCTCTACGGAAGCTTTGCCAACAGCGCTGATCAGTGATGGAAAATAATTATAAAAGAAAAAGAGTAAAGAGCCTAAGTTACTAATCTAT